GGGAGCAACAGCCTAAGCAGAGAAGCTCAGACCTTCCTCTCCCTACCCACCTCAGGGTTATCCAGGGGAACACCAAGGCATCCCCAGGCCAGCCAAGAGATATAATCTCTTCAGTTGTGCTGGGTCTGCTCCGGGGCATTGTTCTGATGGGACATGCTGGGAACACCTCACCCAGAAGGCTCCCAGGAGGTACCCCTGTCAGATGCCCGAACCACCTGAACTGGCTCCTTTTGATGTTAAGGAATATTGGCTAGGGATGGGAATTGATAAGAACTTAGCCATTCTGATTCTATGATACATTTTACTTATTGATTCAATTCCTTATCAGTTCTCTTAGCGATTCTTATTGGGTTCTCACTAGCTCCGCTCTGAGAGTTACCACCATTACTAAGCACCACATTGCAAATTAATTGTATGTTGTGTGTGGTCTAATGTTGTGATCAGTGTTGAGTCATTACTCAAAAAGGTAATGTATTACACACATTAGACATAACACATTTATTAGAAGTAATGCAGTACATTACTTAATTACTCCAAGGAGAAAACCATTCATTATACCACCCATTACATTACTTTCATCTTACTCTCTAAAATGACCTGAAACACACTGTATCAAAATTATTACTTAACAATCGAACACCTGAGGCTACAATCCCAAACACCAACACAAATCCCTATCCTAATGAGGACACATCTTTCTCTTAGCATTTGGGTATGAACACAAAGCCAACAACACAAAACAAAGATGAAATTCAGCACAAATACACTTCAAAGTGATGGCAACAGTTATTCTACTGTAGAAACACGACCAGGTAGAAATGAAGGCTGCAACCTGACTGCTCATCTGCTTGTTACCGATGAAGTTCAGCAGCAGCTGGCCTCACCACAGCTCACAAATGACAAGGAGCCAGGCTTGGAGAGGGTGCCTGAGGTCAAGTGCCTGGTGACTGGGCCTTAGGCCACGGGGCCGTGCTGGTTATAGCCTAAAGAAGGGACATGGACTCACATTCCTGTAGGCCCACCACCTGCAGGGGGCACCATAGGGGTCAGGTGCAATGTGTGCCAGGCGGTGACCAAGGGTGGAGATCCCGATACCCAGCTAACGAGAATAAGAAAGACACTGGGCAAAAACAACACCCATAGAAAAATTCTTTGTCAAAAAACATCTTGATGATCCCCAAGACATTTGGGAAAATATTCTGTGGACTGACAAGACAAAAGCTAAAGTTTTTGGATGGTTTGAGTCCTGTTACATCTGACGTAGAACTAACACAGCATTTCATGACATACATGACAGACAGGCAAACATGGTGGTGGTGGTGTGATGTCTGAGGCTGCTTTGTTGCTTGCCATAATTACTGGAACCATGGATACTGCAAAGAAGAGTGGGCCAAAATTCCTCCACAGCCTCATAAAAGACTCATTGTCCATTATCACAAACGCTTGACGGCAGTTCTTGCTGCCAAGGGTGGCGCAACCAGTCAGTAGGTTTAGGGAGTAATTACATTTTCACACAGGGCACCTATACCAGGTAACAGGTTACATGTTCCACTCAGAGGGAAAAAAATGTAAACGTTAGCTGAACTGACAAGGAAATTATCACCCAGGCTTAAAGTTTGATCCATCCACGGTATCACAACCTGTCTGCGGGTCTGTGAAGCATCCATGGGACACCACATGAAGTGACAGACTGAGGTCTCTCACCCCCCACCCTCCCACTCCCAACACCTACAACTAGCACCTCCGGCCCCCAGCGCTTACGCAGTTGCCACCACGACAAGAATACAAGCATTCTTTCTCTGGTTGCCTTGGTGACACTAATTATGGGGTGTGGGAGGGCTCACGGGGCATCCGAATTCTGAAACGACCATATCGACGTAGGACAAAGGCGTTCAGGGACGCCCAGTGACGAACAAGGGCTTAGTTATACACACACGCCACTCCCTGGAGCGTGTGTGTGTTTACGAGGAACTTGCACAGATTCCCCAGAGACACGTGTGCATGCCTGCCCTGCTATGATAATTACCTTGAGGAGATCACACTCCCAGTGTGTGTGTGTGTGTGTGACATAAGTGAGTGTATGTACAAATGTTTGTGTGTATGGACAAATCTGAGAGTTTAAGAGCGTCGTTTGTGCCAACTTCATGCTGTGGGCCTGCATCGAGATCTAGAAGGAGTTTCAAGGAGTCATATCAGTGATGTTACAAGAAGGACTTCAGTTGTATCTACTCAGACCATCTTTTTTTCACACACACATGCCCCGTGGGTCGTTTTCAAACACACACACCAGGAAGGACACCAGGTCAAGGGCTACAAAGCAAGGGCAAGAGCAAAGAAATAGTCCCCAGAATGAGAACAGAGGGGACTAGAAGAGAGAGAGCTGACTGGATCGAAAATAAAGTGAAGAAAGAATTGCTTTTGAGCATCAGGGTCACAAGGGTTGAATACCAAAAGAAGGCCGAAGCGATTAAGAGTATTGACATGGAGGCAGATTTATGTGCGTGTGTGTGTGTGTATATGTGTGTATGTCAGAGGTACAGGGAGAGCGAGAGAGAAGGGTGTTTGTGTTGAGGGTGAATGAAAGAGAGAAACTGTGTGCAGTCACAGCAGATAGCGTGAGTGTGGCAGTTACAGACGAGGGGTGGGGAGACCATTTTAACATCTCTAAAAAAAGGGGTTAGCTCCTCATATAGTCAGCAGATATGCCGGTCATGAAGGTAAGATGCATAACAGAGATAAAACAAAGGTCAAAAGTCAGAATTTGAGCAGCACATGTTTGGAACAGATGCCTTTCATGGTGGACATTTTGTCTCTGCAAAGCAGGAAAACCACAGTAATAACGATAATGATGGCTCTATTTTATTCAGTGCTATAATTTGAGATACAATAAATACAATAAGTTTTTGTACAAAGTATCGGTTTCGGATCAGTATCGTCGATACCACCCTGAATATTACTTGGTATCGGACCGGAAAGAAAATCTGTGGTACCGCACATCACTATCAAATAGTTCCTGGATGTTTAAATATGTGCCGGTAACATACAAGGTTGTTTTTTAACTTCTTAAATTTAAAAATGCATTTTAAACTTCTGTGCTGCTATATCTCTAGCATGGCTAGCATATGTTGCTAACTTTCATAGCTATTGTAAGACTCTGCCCTTCCTGTAAAAAAACAAAAAAGGTCCATTGAAGTGAATGGAGATGGCGCAAGTCTTCCATTCAATGGCTCTGATTTCTTTTAATCGTTGACACATTTAAAGGATATTAATGCTTAAAGTTTGCATTATTAGGGGCACGGCCACACTGAGACAGCTAACAGTGTAACAGTTAGCTATCTGCTAGATGTCACATGAGCGAATTCACATCACTGAACTTGTACTCCTGATGGTGTTTGTGGTGTTTTTAATGCAATAATTTGGCTAATAATGGGCTAAAGTCATCACTCTGGTTTTAGCGAGTGAACACTAGCATATTGTTCCTATGTTAGTTAGCAGCTGCTAATCAAGCTTGCAACTGTTAGCTGGAAACTTGAATTTCCTCTTTATCGAATTAAAATGTTCCTGTGAGATTAATAATAAAATGTTTGATTCTGCAGATATTTTGTTTTACACTTTTTACACATCATTTACACATAGTCCATGATAATTTGTTGATTAAAAGATTAATTAAATTGTGAATTATCCAGTTTCACCTTAGCAGTTGAGAGCCCACGTGCATGAGAACCGCTCACAATATTAGAGAGTAAAATTCTACAATTCCATAACAACTGAACAAACTCCATGTGATGAAGGTCATGTGATAAGGCAAGAAGATTTGCGATAAGTGAGTACACAGAGCTTAATCTGGGATTGCTTTGTTAACAACAATTCCAGATCAAGGTCAAGATTCCACTGTGAAGCCTACTTTCTCACTCACACAAGCAGTTATGTATATAAAAAAACTAATATAGAACAAAAGAAGAAGAAGAAGAAGAAATGTAGCTCAAATTTGAAGAAGTAAGCCAAGTCTTCCTCTTACACCTAAATGGACAGTACACTATGGACACAATTATACAAGTAAGAACTTTCTGTGACTTAAGGTGAGTGATGGTAGAGTTAGGATATAAATAATCACTCTCTGAAAACTCACACACGGCAAAGTCACAGGCAGTGTATAAAAACACACACAAGGCCACACACTGAAACACAGGAAGCCAACACTGTGCTTGTTACAAAGCACAAAAAATGCACTTAAATCACACTAAGAACCAGTATCTTGTTGTTTTTATTATAAGGAAGTCAATAGAATCACCAAAGCTTACAGCAAGTGGAAGCCTCTGAAGTAAGTGACAACCTAATTGAAAAATGCAATTAACCAGTAGCAAATTTATTACTACAATGATGACAGTCAACTTGAGGTAAACTTTCCCCCTTTACGTGTTGTGGTAAATGTGTTATTAACCCTTCAAAGAACATATGTGCAGGTTTTACTGGCACACAGTCTTTGTTTGAGAACATCCTCTCCACGCCGACAAAGGTTTTTTAGCAGATAAACCATATGTGTGTGTTCTGGCAAACAGGAAATGTTGGCAGGATATAATAATTCCCCCCCCC